AGACCATAGACATGAAAGTAAGAGCTAAAACTATAAAACTTTTAGAATAAAACATAGGGGTAAATATTTATGATCTAAGATTTAGCAATGAATTCTTAGATTTGACACCAAAAGAATGAGCAACAAAAGAAAAAAACATGCAAAGCTAAATATCAAAACTAAAAGTTTTGTGTACTGAAAGACATCAAGAACATGAAAAGAAAACCTAGAGAATGGGATATTACCAAATAATTTTTCTATGCAGAACATTTATACACACGTGTAAACAATTACAATTAAAATATGGGCAATGACTAAAACTATTATTTCTCCAAACACATACAAACAGTCCAAAGGGTAGGTATATGAAAAATGTTCGACAACATAGGTCATTAAAAAATTGCAAATAGAAGTCATAATGAGATACTGTAGCAGACATCTCTGCCCAGTATTCGCAAGCTATAGTGGCATTAAGCTTCTTTCCCCTCCATAATTTGGCTGTTACACTGGAAATATGAGGGCTCGGCTGAGTACACTTCCAGACAAGGTCAACTAACTCTAACTAAATTCTTTCCCTCTGGATTAACTGTTTGTTCTCTTCTACAAAAGATATGCCAGTGCCCTCATTCTATAGTCTTGCTTGATATTCGTTATCAACAGGTGTCCCAAGGCCTGCCCAGCTCCCCGACCCCTTTCCCATGCTTGTAATAAACACTGGATGTCCTTGGTGCCTTTGTCTTTGCTGCCCAGAACAGCTTAGATTGACCCAAGACTCAGTTCCTCTCAAGTCTCTGTGACTTTATTACTCTTTTCCATCTCAAAAACTGGCTTGCAGGAGATTGAGACCCATGGCCAGGGTTTTCTAATTTTTTTTTTTGGTACTTTGGGATTCAACTCAGGACCTTGCACTTGCAAGGCAGGTGCGATGCCACTGAGCTAAATCCCCGGCCCAATGGACAGGGTTTTTGATAACATCTCTTGTAAGATACCACTTCCTGTCCACTACTGTATGATAGCTATTTTATTTATTTTTTTGTTTGTTTGTTTGTTTTGGTACCGGGGATCGAACTCGGGTCCTTCCGCTTGCAAGGCGGGCGCCAGAACCACTGAGCTACATCCCTGGGCCCCTACGATAGCTATTTTAAACAAAGAAGAAAAAGAAAAGAAAAAAAAAGGAAGTGTTGGCTAGTGAGGAGATAGACACACTGAACACCTTATACACTGCTTGGGTAAATGTAAAATGGTATGGGCAGTACAAAAAAGTTCAGTGGCATACCAAAAGTTAAGAGTTACCAAATGACCCAGCCACCATGCTCTTAGGTTTATACCAAAATAAAAACATATGCCCAACTAGAGTTAGACACAAATGTTTATAGTAGCATTATGCAATAAGAGCCAAAGGGGAAAAACAATTGAAATGTTCATCAATGGAAGAATGGAGAAAGAAAATGTATTGTGGCATATACAAAATAAAATATTTGTCAACCATACAGGAATGAAATACTAATAAATACAACAATGTGGATCAATTTTGAAAACGTACTAAGAAAAAGAAGGCAGTCACAAAAACTCACATGTTGTATGATTCCATTAACACGAAATACCCAGAACTGGCAAATTCTCAGAGACAGAACACGAGAGGCTGAGGCAGGAGTATTGCTGTGAATTCGAGGCCAGCATGGGCTACAAAGTGAGGTCAAGGCCAGTCACATAGCATGACCCTGTCTCAACCCCATCCCCCCAAACACACACAAGAAAAGACGGCAAGATCTTTGGGGGAGGGGGAGGTTTTGACTACTTGATGGACATGGGGTATTCTGAAGAGTGAAGACATTTTGAACTAGAGAGGTGGTGGTTACAGAACACTGAAAATGTACTAAATGCAACTGAATTGCACACTTTAAAGTGGGTTATTGTATGCTGTGTGAATTCATTTCAATATAAAATTAAAAACTGAAAATCCCAAAGCAACACCTACAATCAAGATAGTTCCTTTGGAAAAGTATTTCGCAGTCAAAACTATTCTAAGGACAAAGACTCAATTGTGCCAAGGTAAAAGGCTAAAGCATGGCAATATAGCTGCCTAAAATGAGTGTGAAACCCTAACCACAAAAGCAGAAAACAGGCATAGCGTTGCTGGCCTCTTCTGTAGAGAGATGATGTCTGCTTGCTTTTATACATCACTTGGGAATTTCTAAGACAGTTAGCAACACAGGCACCTTGCTTCAGCAGGTCCCAGGATTGCCTTGAGGATGGAGGGGACACCACCAACTCAGAACAAATCAACCTGCCCCCCCCACATATTTGTTTTCCTTTTTGGGCAACTGAAATAACTTCCAAGATGCACAAAGTTAAAGGTGTTATTTTTCAGCTCTTTCGTGGGTCATACAAGCAAACTCCAAGTGCTTTTATGACACAACATAAAACAAAAACCTATCTGAAACTAAATAGTACGCAATCAATCCGCTCTGAGTTGTTACCCCCTCCCCTTCCAGGTTCTTTACACATCCTACTGCCTGAACTCCAAAGGTACACAGAGCATACCCACCACTGGATGATGATGCCACCCGGTATGAAATACTACTCTAAGGTAGAGTGAGTTTTTCGTGTTTATCTTATCTTAAAGCAATTTTGCAGGGCAACTGGACAGAGAAAGTGGAACCTTGGACCTAGCTCTTACTGACCCACACATTCTGTCCTTCCCAAGGCCACGGACAATGGCCCTATGGTTACTAAAAGATTCACTGTAGGTCTGTCTCTCAGGCTGCTCCATTTAAAACTGGATGTCCACCTGACGAATACAAAGTATTGCTTTCTAATGACCTGCTTCAGGCTGTACTTTATGATATTACTGGATATTCCCGAGGATGTAGGACTTGGTCACAAGGTAATCAAGGTTGCTTGTTCCTTGTACAGAATGAGGCTAGTCAACTCAAAGATATGGGACTGCTGAGTTTATACATTCTGTCATAAAGGAAACAAAACTAATTTTTAGTTTCAACACATGCACATATAGCCTTCAATATATTCATGGACTAACACAGCACAAGGTTGGATTTTTCTCCAATTTCATAGTTTTGTTTCTTAAAGCAATCTTTGTAAAAATTCACTCATTGTAGTGTAAGAGCAAGGGCAGAGTTTATTACACAGATTGCTAAAATGAATACCACAAATTTCTAATGTGATTTTTTATAGATGATGTGGATAATAGTAAGATTCTCCAGAAAACTTTAAGCTCAAATATAACTCCAATGTTCCATAGTTCCTTTTTTTAGGGGTGTACCAGGGATTGAACTTGGGTTCTTGTGCTTGCGCAGCAGGTGGCGAAACCACTGAGCTAAATCCCTGGCCATAGTTCTTTTAATCACACTAAATCAGTAACCAGGTATAATAATACCCTAAATTAGTTTGAGGTTCAAATGGCAGGAACATTCTTCATTTATATTATTAAAAGTACATCCCAAAGAATTCGATCACATCCACTGATCTGATCAGCATCCTTTCCCTTTAGTTTCTCAATGTAAAAAGTCATCACTAACTTAGTTCCTGTTTTTGGATCTGCAGCTGAGGAGAACTCTACATACCACTGGCTCTCCTTCTAAACAGGCTGATTAGCTCACTGTTACAACCTGAGCCCCCAATTCCAAGCAGTCTTTTTGCAAACAATTGTGATTACTTATTAGTTGCCAATGAAATAGGTCCACTGGAGGTGACTGAGTTATTATAATTTATTCTCTACTACAAAAAAAGCTCACAAAAGTTGAGGTAAATTATTAAAAAAAAGAGAAATAGATTGTTTTGTGAATTTTCTTACTCGTAATATAACGTAGAACCAAGACACCTAGAAATTAAGAAATGTTTCTTTTACAATTATAGCTGTTGCAAAGGTATGACACTGAGCTGACAGCCTCCATATGTCCGTGTCATCACAGCTGGTTCACAAACACTTCACATAAGATAGACACACGTCACCTCACTTTTTTAAAACAAATGATGAGAAGAATACTACAATGCAAGCGTTTAGGCGTGGCTAAACCGATGGGTCTATCCATTATGGTGGGCACTGTAAGCTTTTTAAAAGACATGGATTCTTTTGCACCTTCATAAACTTGTGCCATATTGCTTTCAATTAGGACTTTTATTATTTTCCAGATGGCATCAGATTACACAATTTTAAAAAAGGGGGTCCAAATTTACCTTTTAGTGGAATTGCTAATCCCACATAAAGTATTCTTCAAACCAGGTTATCTGGCTTGGACACTCTGAACATGATTTTCCAAAGGACATCCTGAAGACCTCACAAGCATTTAACTGAGTGTGCTATTATGTAATGACCACAGTTAGAAAGTAAAATAAGAATAAACTTAAGTTTCATGTAAATTCAGAATATAGGAGAAGTTTGAACTTTTAAGTATATGAAAGGTAAATCTGCACTGATGTCATACAATGTTAAGCTAGTTCTTCATATCTGTTTTTGGAAACAATGAAAATCCACTGCTGAAAGCAATAAAAATCATCTATATACACTCAACCTCATGTTGATGTAAATGATGTAATACAGGTATGTCACTATGGGGTGGACAGACTGTTCCCAGAATTCCCCATAAATACCAAAATCTGTAGATGTATGTATCTCTTACATAAAACGGCATTTGTGTATAACCTGTTCACATCCTTCTATACTATTTCTAGATTACTTATAATATTAATACAATGTTAATGCTATGTAAACAGCTGTTACCTTGTTTGGTTTAGGGAATGAGAAAAAAATTTGTATCGTTCAGTACGGACATGTTTTTCCCAGAATATATCTGATCTGAGATTGATTGAGTGTGCACATGTGGAACCACAAGGCCAACTGTATGGTATATAAGGTCTCTCTTTGCAAATCTGCCCAATCTAGTTTCTGATTGTGTTTCAAAGCGAAAGATAAGGGTCTGATATTCATTACATGGCAGAGAAAGCACAATACTGTTTAAGGAACGAGAAAAAAATCTTTAGGGAATGAGAAAAAAACATACCCAGGTTGTGCCGCTTTGTCTTGGCGTGCTCGTGGATGTGCTTCTTTGTGAAACAGCCAAAGAAGACACAGTAGAGGCAAGAATGTAGCCGGTTCAGGTGGACGCCACACACATGGCACACGCAGGACTTGGCCTGAAATTCAGAGAACAGAATTAATAAACAGTGTGCAACGCAATAGGAGTTTTCCCAGGGAAACATCCGAGCCAAGGATATAATGGGAGGAAGGGGGTAATTTCATCTCAAAGCCTTCCTGCTCTAAAAGATCACTATTTAATTCCCCTAAATAAAGACTTGTTTCACTTAGCTCAAAACTAGCTCCAAGGGCCGAGGATTTAGCTCAGTGGCACTGTGCCTGCCTCATAAGCGCAAGATCCTGAGTTCCATCCCCGGTACAAAAACAAAACAAAACAAAACAAAACTAGCTCCATATAAGAAAACAGCCATGATCTTAACTGTCTACCAGTAAACTACAGAGCCTGGGAAAAGGTATACATACAGGACACAACAATGTGTCAATCTACAATCATGTCAAAAACTTAATTTTTTTAAAAAAAAAGTGCTTTACATTTTTGTTTTACTTAGTATGAATGGTATGATGTTTTGTAATTTGAAAGAAAACTTACCAATAAACAAATCAAAAAGTTAATTCTTCAAAAAAGTTTGAAAAGGAAAAAAGTCTACTTAAAGACAAAGACATGGAAAATGAGCTAGACTAAAAAAAAAAGTAATTAATGAAAGACTTCTTACCACCAACCAATCTCTGGCTGAGTCAACAAAGTTTAATTTAGCTATGTGTAAAACTAGAAAAATTGGTAAATTACATGGCCTTCAGTCTTCTACGTGCGAGATCATGTGTCCTGTAAGTCACTCCAAGTAGTGTATTTTCCAAGTCCAATAACAGCAGAACTGTCAGACCCCCAAAATGATTTCTATTCAACTGTTAGACCCCCAAAATGATTTCTATTCAACAGTTCACATACAAGATATCCATTCACATCTGAAAAGGAGGATCGTAGACTCCAAAATGGAAACAGAACCAACATCTGCAGAAAAATGGTTCCAGGACACCCATGGATAGCAAACTATCAGGATGCTCAAGTCTGGTAAATAAAATCATGTTGTATTTACACAGACCCTTCTGCAATCACACAATTTAACAGGTGTGTCCAACCTGTGGCCTGCAGGCAACCTGCCCTCTTCTTTTAAGATGTTGTTTTTAAAAAAGTAAGCTTTTGGGCCGGGGATTTAGCTCAGTGGTTCCGCTGCCTCCCTCGAAAGCACAAGGACCAGAGTTCAATCCCCGGTACCAAAAAAAACCCCCCAAAACCCCCAAAAAAGTAAGCTTTGTTATTTATATATATTAGCTATATTATATATTTTATATGTAGCACAAGACAATTCCTCTCTGTTTGAAAATAGAGGGCAAAAAAAGGTGGGCTGCAGGTTGGACACAGCTCATCTGCAGATTATAATATCTAACACAATGTGTTATGGTTTAGATCTAAAATGGTCCCCAAAAGTCTCATGTTGGGGGAGGTGGTCAGAAGGGGTGGGTCACTGGGGGTGTAACTTGGAAGGGTGTATTCTCTTCCCCAGCTCCTCCCTTCTCTCTGATTCCTGGAGGCCACCATGAGCAGCTATCCTCCCTCATGTCATTCTGCCACACTATTTCTGCTTTGCAGCCAGTCAGTCATGAATTGAACCCGGTGAAAATGTGAGCCAAAATAAACTCCTTTAAGTTTCAGGGGTCAGGTATTTTGTTCCAATAACAGGAAAATGATTAATATCTTGTAAAATGCAAATGCTATATAAGCAGGAATAATGACAAGAAAAGTTTGTACATGTTTTATACAAACACAATTGTTTCCCCCTAATATTTTGATCTATGGTTGGTTGAACGTGGGAACCTGAAGATTAGGAAGGCAGGCTGTATAAATCTTTTTCTGAAGTTCAAGGCATGTGCTCACTTCTGCAGCACATACACTAAAAGTTGAAGTTTATGGCAAAGTACCACTGACTCAAGATAAAAAACTCAAGACCATTTTTCACCTTAAATGATCTCTCTTCCTTTACCTCAACCAAAGTTCTACTACACACTCCTAAAACATGGCCATCATAAGCTAATCTCAGCTGGTGTCCATAGACTGATGATTCCTATTGTCACCATGAAAACTAGGCCATTATACCCTGTTTTAAACTTTGATACTTTACATTCAATCTTTTTTTTTTTTGAGTCAGGGTCTCATTATATAGTTCAGACTGGCCTCAAACTCCAGGCAATCCTTCTGTCTCAGCTGATTTTCTCATTTTGACCACTGTTGCTTTCATGTCTGATGTTTCCCACACATGAAACTGCACTTTCCAGATGCACCTCAGCTTTAATGTCTTGCCTAGGATTGTTCTTTCTCTAACTTGATTACCAGAGCTGGGTATAGGTCTTCAGCCTATAGATCTGCTGCATATTTTATATATTATTGACAGCTAATCACTAAGATTAAACTCTTTCTCCAAGCAACTCTTCCTTAGCCACTACAGTGCAATAGCAATGTAGTTAAACAGGACATGAAATGATAATGAGGACTGCTAGTTTAAGCCCAGCCTAAGCAACATGGCAAGACCCTGTCTCAAAAAACAATAAAAGGGCTAGGTATGTAGCTCAGTGCAAAGGACTTGGGTTCATCTCCTAGTAATGCAAAAATTGAAAGAAAAATACACTGATTAGAAACTGGAAGTGTAATTAAGGATACACACGGATGAAATTGCCTAATAACATATTTCTTAGACTGCGTTTCCATCGTGTGTCATAGGACTGCACTGAAATTTAAATCAGGGAGAAGCTTGGCTTATGTGGAGTCTGCTAGCTAAATGGAGTTTTTTCCAGATCATCATTTGTTCAATGTTGGTTTTGGGGACCTTTCTGAAACAAATCACATTCTCTGGTGTCTTGCTGGTGCTTGAGATGCTTTTTTAAGTTATATGGAAAAATGTTTAAGTGCTTTTCAGTTTTATTTTGGTTGAGTTCTACTGTATTTGAATATTATTGTAGTTTTTTTCCTTGCATTGTTCTTCTTTGAATAGTTTTAATTATTGTATGTGTGTGTGTTTGATAATAAAGTTATTTAAAAAAATACACTGATTACTAGGCTTAAGTTTAAGGCAAATAGTTTTTATCTTGCCATTTAACACCTACTATTTCAATAATTACAATGTCAAGTCCTCAACAGTTCAGAGTTGACTGCGGATTATAGAGAATGCGCGATGCAAAACAACATGCACTCATCCCCCTTATTCCAAAGGGTTCCCATTCCTCTTTTCCTAAACAGTGGTATCAAGAGTGCAAACACAAACATAAGTATTTGTGTATGGTGTGAATTTTGGATACTTGCCAAGGTAGCTCTTCTTTCTCTGTAGCTCTTTATCTTAACCAAAAATTTTTCCTAAGAATTCTTACTCATTGAGTTATTTAGGTCCCAAATTCTATGCCTTGGCAGCCTTCCTTCAGCTTATCACCCAAACTAATCCAGAACTGCTATTGGTCCAAAATTACTACTAGTATGTTTGACAATCTTTTTCACCTCTGGTAAAGTGTATTTGGTGAAAGTATGCAATGTACTACAGCTCCAGAAAGCTGCGATAAAACATGAGTCAAGAGAGAAATGATTATTTTTAAAAATTACTGTTTCCCAAAGTATCTATACATTTAAAATATAATGAATATGAAAATAACTAGTACTAACTACTGTTAGTACTAGTAAACTGTTACACTTCTTTTTATGATCAGTTTCTATCTTTACACACTAATTCTGAAGGCAAGAAATGTTACATCTAATGGCATACAAGAATACAAAAGAAAGAGTAAACACTGTGGTAATACTGAGTCCTAAACATTTTTTATATTCAGCAGTATAAATTTCACTGCAATTTAAGCCTGATTTGGGCAGAAAGTTACCAAGTATGTTTTTACCACATTCTGCCTATCAAAAGGAGAATTAAAGCTTGGGTATCCAAACCACACCCACTTCTCCTCAGGGATGTGTTTCTGTAGTTAAACTGTAGCTGACATGTCAATTTAGAAAGGCACTTTTGCTTGCTTACAAAGACTACAAATGTAAGCAGGGAGAATACACTAAGTAGTTTAGCACTTGCCTTAGCATGCAGAGGCCCCGAGTTCCAACCCCAGCTCTGAGGTGTGGGGGCATAATTTAAGTATTGTTACACTAAAGTTCATGTCTTAAAGCCAAGTAGGTCGTCTATGGATAGATCTGCTACAAATTCTATGCAACATGCCAAATATGTATTATTGACTGCTAACCACTAAGATTAAAGTCTTTCTCAGACCAACTCTTCTTTAGCCACTACAGTGCGCTAGCAATATAGTTACACAGGACATGAAGTGAAACAAGAAAATGACTCCACTCAAATGGGAGAAAAAATTGATTCAGATTCATTGCTGGTACATTACCAAAGGGCAGGGCATAACTGACAACCCTAAATTTTGAGAGAAATATTAATCAATGCCATCCATCCATATCTCAAACTCTTACTAGAAAACAATATAGATGTGGTTCAACACCTTTCAAACTCAACAATCCAAATCAAAAATTAATTATACCTATCAACTAAAATAAATATAATTCCTTCCTTTAGGAAAGTTACATCATTAAGAATGGTTTAAACTTGATATAGAGGAAGCTTCCAGGTAGGCATGCCATGGCTCTGAGCACAGAGGAGACCTCCAGATCGGCACACCACAGCTGCCAGGCAGCAGGAGGCTTCCGGGTAGGTGTGCTGCGGCTCCCAGCATAGAGGAAGCTTCCAGGTAGGCATGCCACGGCTCCGAGCCCAGAGGAGGTGAGTCGAATGGGTGCCAGGAACACGGACCCATCCTACTCCTCTGCCCCCCTGCCCCGTGTGAAAAAAATGAGAAGACAGGTAAACAAGCCACAGAACCAGACTTCCAGATCACCTACAGCAACCCCAAAGGGAAACGAGATGGAACACTGATACATGATCACCTGGACTCCCTGAACAAGCAACGAAAGAGGATCTGGAAAAAATTGAAATCAGAAATAATTTCTCACATAACAGCAAAGATTGTGCCCATAGCACAAGACATGATTAATAAATCTAGA